ACGCAACACCTGTTGCGTTCAGGAAACCTGGGAGATTTAACATTACAATAATGGCAGGTTATCGAAATATCATTTAAAATGGCCACATTACATTGAATTTGATGCAATATATTAGGAAAGTACAGGAAAAATAAATAATACTTTTTTTAAATAATGCAATGAAATTATTTAGGGGGGCTAAAGACATTTTTAGGGAGGCTGAAGCCTCCCTAAAATAGGCCTAATGACGCCCATGATACTGTTTGTGGAAAGGGCATCCGGCTAGGATTTCGGGCCATCAATTTGGGGAAGCTCACACAGGGTGCACCTATACATTTTTTCATAGTTGGCTTTTTAACACAGGTTAGGGTTTCAAAGTAGGGTTTAAAGATAGGGTTAAAAAAGTGTTTGCAAGACGCGTGTCGGAACCACCGGTGACGCTGCCGCAACCAAATGCTTGAATGCCAACCTCTTTTAATAGAAGAGGAAGAATCTTTCGGCCATACTCGCGGGTTCTCGGCTACTCGGCCTTCTTCGGCCCTTTCCGGACATCCGCTTGTTCCTCGCCGATTCTCGCTGTCGTCGTAGCCCTCGTCCTCCTCTCGGTGTTGTTGTTCTCGGTGACGCGACGGAGGTGTAGCCTGACGCGATCTCTTACGTGTCGGTCTGAATAAAAGTGGAGCTCCGTAGACCCGGGAGTGACGAAGCGAGTCTGTGTTGGTAAGAGGATACGCATCCGATCTTTGCTAGACAGTTAGATGGCTGCCCGCAACGTTTATTTGCGGTTTGTAGCCGCACAACGCCAACAAAGAAATCATGGCGGCGGCGTTGCAGAGGCTCACTAAAATGAGTCAGTGGCTGCAATGTTCGGAAAAAAATCTGATTTAGATGGACACTGGGCTACATTAAAAAAAGAAGAGACAAAAAGAGACAAAATTCCTAACACCGCTGGACTAAGTCACAGAAGCAGTTTGATACATTTTAGCAAATACATTGTTTGAAATAAACACGAAGCAAATAAACTGGTGGTACAGTTATAACATTTTCCCTCGCAAATTCTTACTGGCTGCAACTTTGCAGTCGAAATGAAATTAAGGCACATTTGATTAATCAACCGAGACGTATTTTAATCTGAACACTACCGACTCATAGGGGGAATGCGGAGGAAACTAAACTCTCTTCTTTAAGGCGGAATTAAAGTGTATACCTTCCTATTAGCTTGTTAGCATGCTAACCAAGCAATGTTGGTCACGGTGGCCAGCGACAAGCTACTTGCAGCATTTCTGCACAGAATTAAGCCAGACAAGAACTTATATTAATCAAGACAACGATTGAAATGCTTGCCCGGCTCATCACGACTGTTTTATTGTTACGTTTTTTTACTTTGATCAAACGTATTAAGAAAGCCACACCCTCCTTCGGGATGCATTTCAAAAGGGGTCACCAACCTGTTTCAAACTAAGAGCTCCTTTTTGAGAACTAATTCACGCCAAGAGCTACCAGTTTGATCAAACGCTTCTTAAATACCAAATGTGCTCAAATCACTTTTCATGTCGTTATTGTTAAAAGTTAATGATTTAACATTTAAGTGAAAACACTGATCATGTTAATGATTTCTTAAAATCATTATAGGGGAAGTCAGCTCAAAAAATCGTCTTTGCAATATGTTCCACGTGTCCCTCCCCAGTCTAAACACCACATTCTGATTAATATTGCGTTTGTGGAGATAATTACAGGTGCATTTTGCTGCTTAATTCATATTACACTAACACATTATTAATCAGAATGCCATGTTTAGACTAGTGGGGGCGGATAGAACATGTTTGATTTGACTTGCCCTTTAAGAAACAGATAAATATCCCTATGCACCACTTTATTTCTTTTGTAAATCTCTGCTTACACTTTAAAAGGATCACATTTACAATATTCCGATAAAATCACAATGCCTCCTCAATGGTAAACTATTTTAGAACAGGTCTGCGGGCTTCTCATGAGATCATCACTACATTAGTGACCCCTTTCTTAGAAGTTGCTGAGGCAAAGCATCTCATCTGAATATCAGCTGTGCACATTAACACTTTAATTGAATACTAATGCATATATATTCAAAGATTTTTTTTTCACTGTGCAGATTTTAAATGACAATGGAAGCTTGTGCCGATACACAGCAAAGTGGTGAAACGGGTGTGAAGCAAGAGTCCGAGATTGGCCTGTCCCAGGTAACGTCATCACATCACCACCTCTACTTGAAAATGTCTAATCTGCTATTGAGCATAAAGTGTCTCACTGGGTGGTTTGTCCTGGTCGTAGGCCTCCATAGCGTCGAGCCAGGTGTCATCCAGCAGTCCCACAGTGGCCTTGGTGCAGCTGCCCAACGGCCAAACCGTCCAAGTGCACGGGGTGATCCAAGCGGCCCAGCCCTCGGTTATCCAGCCCCCTCAGGTCCAAGCAGTTCAGGTCTGCACCCAATACCTGCTGCTTATCTCACCAAAACACAGTAAACAGTTGAAATGTAAACAGAACTTGTTGTGTTCCTGCAAAGATTTCAACAGTTGCCGAGAGTGAGGACTCTCAGGAGTCTGTTGACAGTGTCACAGATTCTCAGAAGAGGAGAGAGATCCTGTCCAGAAGACCTTCGTACAGGTGTGATGTTTCTTGTTATTTTTCCAAGAACCTTGCAAAACCGTCTATTTTGTTCTTTTGAATTCAATTCAAATTCAAAAAAACATTTTCGTTAACAAAATAAAAATAAAAATTAAAATGCATTTTAAAAAAAACTAACTTAAACTACATTTTACGTTTACAAATCGTACTATGTACTACATAATGTACTACGTACGTACTATGATTACAGCGAAAATGTCCTTCATTTTCATCTTTGGCAATTAATTTAATACATGATCCTTTGGGGTTGATTTTAAATGTATTTATTTCACTATTAGCCGGAAAGAGAACCTTCAAATAGTCATATGGGAGTCATAGCCCTGTTAATGTCATCTCGCAGTAGCCAGGAAAGAAAAAAATCGCCATCAGATAACGTCACTCCCCGGCGATGTGTTTTATGTTTGACTTGGCTTCAAGACGGGCTCCACTGATTTTTGTCATACTCATGTACTGCGAGGTAAGAAGTGCTTTCCTTTTTTTGGTTCACATCTGACAAAAATATCTGCAGGACATAAAAAATAGTGCAGTACACTGTACAACCAGGTTTAGTACTTTTCAACAGGAATTCAAATATACTTCAGAAGCTGACAATTGAGCAATAAAGACTAACTTTTGAAGTTGTGTTCCACACTGCAATTTGAAATTCTGTATCTTTAGACTGTTATACGGGACCTGTATTTGAATTCTGGATGGATGGATATTTTTTTTGTTTTATTTATATTACACAATACTTAACATGGTGTTTTTTTTTATCTTGCACATTTAATACACATTTAATAAGTAATACACAATTTAAAGAAGAGGAAACAAAAAGTAACCAAAACTAAACTAAAACCAAGCTATTTATGGTGGAACTAAAACAACAATAATAATAATATAAAAAAAAAGCAAATTAATACTAACTCCATTTAAGAAAAACACAGCTCAAGACGCCATCAAAATTACCTGTATCTGTAATGAAAATTCCAAAACCATAATACCCTGGTAGGTAGGCATTATTTTATATAGATATATGTATGTTTTCATTATCTATTTATATCATGTCTAAATAGGTTCAGTGGTGTTGAAGTGAAGTCCACAAAATATCTTTTTTTTTTTTTCATAAAAGTTGAAGAGACAGATAAAGTCACAGTTTTGTTTGGATTATTGTTGTAATCTGATTTAATGAATTCTGTTTTCAGCATGACTGTGTGCTAGAATTTTGTGAAGTTGGTGTAGATAAAGACTCCAAGTCAATTGTTTAGCAAATTGACTAATTGAAGTAGATAAATGAACTCTTTCATATTACTACATGGTTCCTTTGCCTCCCGATGGTCGACTGGTTAGCACGTCGGCCTCACAGTGCACAGATGCAGGGTTCGATTCCAGCTCCGGCCTTCCTGTGTGGACTTTGCTTGTTCTTCCCGTGCCTGCGTGGGTTTTCTCCGGCTACTCCGGTTTCCTCCCACATTCCAAAAACATGCATGGCAGAAAAATTGAACGCTCTAAATTGTCCCAATGGTTTGTTTGTCTCTGTGTGCCCTGCGATTGGCTGGCAACCAGCTCAGGGTGTCCCCCGCCTATTGCCCGAAGAAAGCTGGGATAGGCTCCAGCACGCCCCTTGTGAGGATGAGCGGATCAGAAAATAATGATTCCTTTGCCTTTATTTTAGCATTAGCCTAATTTATAAACCCAAAACACACAAAGTTGATTGTAATACAGAATAAATTATTCCTTGTTTGTTTAAAAATAAATGAGAAGAGGACCTTGAACAAATACATATTAAATCGCAATATTGGGGGTGGGGGTATGTGGAGGAATGTGGCAGTAACCTATGTCTGCTTTTCTTTTCAGGAAAATCCTAAACGACTTATCATCAGACGCTCCAGCAGTTCCTTGCATCGAGGAAGAAAAGTCAGAAGACGACTCTGCCCCGGCCATCACCACCGTCACCATGCCCACGCCCATTTACCAAACAAGCAGCGGCCAATACAGTATGTTCATTGTCCACCGCCAGCTTGCAGATGTGGGTTTTGAAGAAATATTAAGGCCGACGTGTCACAATTATCTCCCCTCTGCAGTCGCCATCACACAGGGAGGGGCCATCCAGTTGGCCAATAATGGGACAGATGGCGTTCAGGGCCTGCAAGCACTCACCATGGCCAATGCCGCCACAGGCCAACCAGGTGCCACCATCCTGCAATACGCCCAGACCAGTGATGGTCAGCAGATCCTGTTGCCCAGCAACCAGGTGGTTGTACAAGGTGAGAAAAGATGGCAAACAAAGTTCCTCTGGCACTTCTCTTTGTTACCATTTACCTCCAACCCTTCAGCCGCCTCCGGAGATGTTCAGGCCTATCAGATCCGCACAGCCCCATCCAGCGCTCTCACCCCCGGGGTCGTCATGGCGACCTCGCCCGCATTAGGTACAGGGACGGGAACAGAGGAAGTCACGCGCAAAAGAGAGGTGCGCCTTATGAAAAACAGGTATGTTGCTGAGAATAGTGCACCACAACAGTCACACAATCTGAGACCGTTTTCAAGACCGTTGGTCCTCTCATTCAGGGAGGCTGCCCGTGAGTGTCGCAGGAAGAAAAAGGAGTATGTCAAGTGTTTGGAGAATCGGGTCGCCGTGCTGGAGAACCAGAACAAAACCCTCATTGAGGAACTTAAAGCCCTCAAAGACTTGTACTGCCATAAATCTGAGTAGGCTCATCATTATTCGCCCGGCGTGGGCCCGCCCATGTACAGAGACTCAGCAAAGAGCCATGCATATGGATGCCACTCTACCTTTTCTAATTGTTTTGCTTTCTTAAAAAAAAACAAAAACAAAGAAAAAGAAACCACATACACACACAAAAAAGCAAGAAATTTATGTGGCCCAGTAGGCAAAGTTAACTGGCAGTACTAAGTTAGCATTCTGTTTCTGTGACATCGTCATGAGTGGATTTGTCCTGGGAGGGGCGCCCATAAATAAAGTGACCAAAGGAATAGATTCTGTCACTGGGTCTTGAACGGGAGATGGAGCTGCAAGATGTCATTGGCACGAATGATGGAACAGTTACAGCCCCCGCCCCCAGCTTCCTGGCGGTGCCTCACTTGGAGACCTCACATCATTAACAAACGGTGTGGTTTCACAGTGGTTGGAAGGTGTACCTGAATTTGCATCTGATCTCCTTCTGGGAGATCGCCCTCTTTGTTAGCACACTTTGCCTTGCTACGTGAACAAAAATGCTTTGCGTTCGGATTTTAGTGTTTTATGCAGCACAAAACACTAGCGATCTCGAATTTTCCGTTTTTTGTTTTTAATTGGCATTTTGTCTCTAACCTTATTAATGCAGGGTCATTATTTTTTGTTTTTGGGTTGTTGTAATCTTTCTATGGATCTGCACATTTTTTTAAAAAGAAAAACAGGAAGGAGTTCCACACGTGTGTTTGCAATAAACATGGTCTTTTTTTTTAGACCTTGAATGAGAAGAGATGGGGGGAAATGTAGAGAACGAATAATTGACACAGGGTGTGTGTGTGTGTGTGTGGCTTTTTGTATTGTGGCTTTTATTCTAATTATTTCTGATGTCATTATTTTCTTAAAATAAAAACCAAAAATAATGAGCCCTGCTTACAGCTTATGCAATAGATACATCATCACAGCCTGTGATGATGTGTTTTAACTTCTCTGTGTTATAAGGAAATTCGAGAACTTCAAATTAGTAAGATGAGGTTGTATACAGTATGCACTTTTCCTTGCTGAAACAATCCAGATATACAAGGTGTGTCTGAAAAGTCCCAGCCCTGGTGTTCCAAATGTTGTTTCAAATCCAAATGACAAGTTTCCCCCGTTGAAGTAAAGCCATTTCGAGTCAATTACACATATATTTTTTGAGACCTTGTATTCAACATTCAAGCATGATGCCCTGCAACAATGTAAGCAGTAATTGTCCACAAAATGTTTGGGATGTCATTTTTTCTTCTTAAAGATCATGTCATATCTGAATTTGATCAAGTGTGTTGCACATCGCATTTGACTATTGGTCAAAAATTCTGCAAAGGGATTGTAAAGCGCACCCAATCCAAAGAAATCTTGATCATGATGGGATGTCTTATTTTCCTTTTAGGTATGGTGTATAATAAGACTTTGTTATATTTCACGTGGCTTTTCGTTTATTTTCTTAATGTCCACACCAGCTTGTAAAATACATTGTTAGAGCTGTTACATTTTGGCCGCTGTTAGTAAAAGTGTTTCTGAGAAGCTTGGATTTCCAAACAATACATTTATTTAAATGGGGTGTCTTCAGAAAGAAATCACAAATCACTCCTGGGCAGTTGTTTCCCAGCTTTGTAAATATGGATGTCCCTATTTTTGTCATAGTAAACCTCCTCGACAGTAAACTGCTCCCTCAACATTGTCAAAAACTTGGTATCTCGTTCATAGCGTATCCTGCATGCCAGTAGCACCACGGTGGCATCCGCACACAGGTGCTGAAGTGTCTGTATCAGTGGCACAAATGTGTCCTCCAGGTAAACGATGTCTGCTCCCAAGACTAGATCGAAGCCTCCAGCTGGGAAGCGATCAAGGCCCTCGCCCCAAGACAGCTCAGACACCGCCACAGATTCCCAGAGGTCAGAGGGCAGGTTGTATTTGACATTGTTAGAAAGGAATTCCAGAGCACACCTCCTGTCAGTGATGGTCACTTTGGCACCTTAGAAGTCAACAAAGTCACATTCGATTTTTAAGTGTTAAAACTGCAAAGGCATCACCAGTAACACAATCAGTGAAAGTTACCCAGCAAGGCTGCAACGACGCCCACCAATCCAGTGCCCGCCCCCAGCTCAATGGACACCTTCCCCTTGAGATCGACATGGCCCAGCTCCAAGTACATACACAAGACAACAGCCTGCAAACACGTGTCACTGTAAATTCATGCACATTGTTGAAGCGCAATTCTGCTCAATGCTTAAGTTTACCGACCGCGTCCCACACAACCGCTGCCACTCCAAGCGTCCTCCAATCCTGAGCTATGACGATATCATGGCTGGCAAAATGAAAACGCGCCGATGAATTCTGAAGTTTGGAAAGGGCAGGTACCACATTTTCAACATACGGAACCAGAGCCATGACGCAATCGAACCATTAAACGCTTCACTATAAACAAACAACAATTTACTCTCTTTGCTTCCACATTTTCCACTTCCGCTGAAGGTAAGTCATCGCTACTCTTGCAATGCTACTGCCCTCATCTGGTGACTGTTAAGTACAAGATTACGGGATACGTTTCTTTATTCACTCAGTCGCATTTGTAAAAGTAAACTATATGATCACATTTATTCATAAACATCACGCCCATTGTCGCCCCTCATCAATTTAGAAATCAATATTTGTTTGAATCATACTCACTGCCTTAATTAGCACAAAATTACATTGTAATATTTGCCATTGTCGATTGTTATAGTCTTTGGAAACCAAATTCTTGTCCGATAATAAACACCGAGGGAATGTAAATGAAAATACCTAATACTTTAACAGACATTGTACCAATTTATAATTATTTTCACTTAAATTATGAATGCTGTTTATTTTGAAAAATAATCACCCGGATATGACGTCTTGGAAGTGCTCTTGGACAACAGTGGTCTGGTCTCGCAGTATGTACATACAGAACGTGGGATAATGTTTGAAAAAAAAATACTGTGCTTATTTGTTGGATTTCACTGAAGTGTCATTTATCTTCTATGCATCTACACTGCACTGACTCTTAATTAAGGCCGAGTCATCGTAGTATGTAGTGAAGTCGTGGATTGGAATGGATGCGGAAGCCTGCCCATGGACCAAGAGAAAGCCCCGATTTTGGATTTTTAATCTCTGTTTCGTAAAATGACCGGATACGGATATGTTTTACACTATTAAAGCTTTTCCACCCATGTTTGAAGGCATCCAAAAATGCAACAGTGCTTACATTGGTACGCACACGCCCTGAACATGTCAGCTGCTCAAGACATGTCTGGTTTGTTTGCATATTTGTCAAACACTCTGAGTCTACATCCTTGTTCTCAGAAGCTAAGACACATTTCGTTCAGGAGGATTGCACGCCGGCTTTACATACTTAAACCTACCCTAACTTAAAAGGATAATAGCTGAGGCCTCTTCAATGAAGAAATTGACTGAGATGATGCAGCCCATATTTCTCGTCAGTTGCATTGGAAATTAAGCAATGGGTGGGTCGGTGTCCTGCTGCATTTCTCCAAGAGAGAGTCCCAAGCGTCTCAGGAGACAGCTGGACCTTGAGGACTGTCCTATCACCGCAGATGTGAGTGAGGAAACTGCGACCTGCCTGCAACACATCAGTGACAGAGAGCTCCCAGATGGTGAGAGGAGAGCACCTTCCTTTGCACAGTACAGCAACATTGAGGTAGACATATATTTGGATAACCTTTCCTCTCTTTTAGAGCTGGCCCAAGAGGCCAACCCATCGGATCACCCCAGAACCACAACCCTGTTCCTTAACAAATCTCAGACAGATGGTGAGCCTTTCTCTGTCACCTTCTGTCATCATTATCCACCTGAAAGTCACCTAAATGTTTTTCTCTCACCTTTTAATTTAGTGCGAGAAAAAAGGAAAAGCAACAACATCAACAATGTGAGTCTTTCATACAATGGTAATTTTCTCATTCATTCATTGCTCAAATGTTGATGTGCATTATAAAATATAGGTTAAAAATACAGCGCTGTGCATATTAGTCAACTTTCACAGGTAAATATATCAGATTGTAGCCACAGCCCAACTCTCATTTTTAGTCTCTTTGGCATTTTAGGGTTGAAAAGCATCCAGTAACTATAAAATAAACAAAGGAACATAGAAGCAGAATGCTATTGTCATCATTTGTGTTCTCCACCATAGTTATAGGATAATGTATGTGTACTCATGTGTAAAGAAATCTTTTTATGACCGTTGTTTCAGATCGTAAATGTTTGTTGCTTTGAAACAACAACAAAACACCAAAACTTAAAATCCTACAAGTAAATGCAAGCCATATAAAAATAAGTGAAACAGAGATATAGATGTGCCAAATTCACTAGCCCGATTAAAGTTACCTGCTGAAATCCCTGTACTCATTTTCCATCAGTAGGGTTACAAATGAAGGATTGGACAAATCCCTTAATATTCTGCACTCAATTAATTTTACTAATCTGTTGTGAAGCCCATCTCTATTATGCAGCAAGGTGGAACAGTGGCTGGCCTACCATCATGCTCACATCACGGCTACAGGTTCCGTTCAGCATTGGCTCGGGTCTAGAGTATCTTTGTTGACTTTGAATAATCACTTGGGGCGCGTTTGCATCCTCCCTTTTCTAAAGACATGTATGTCCGATTAATTGAAGATTTAGAAATGGAGGTATCAGTGTAAAGCTAAGATCAGATGTTATCCACATCAGTTTCCTTACTCTTAGGCTAAACATTGTGATTTCCACCAGATGTCCCCTGGCCTTCTGATGAGGAAGTACAGCTCCTGCTCGACAATCTTCCTAGATGACAGCACAGTCAGCCAGCCCAACCTCAAGAACACCATCAAATGGTACACCAGCTTTGCTTTGCACTCTGGCAAGTATGGGAGATGTACTGTAGCTCCCAGAATCTAGAGTTGAGCGGCAGACTTCTCATCAGGATTCCCAAATCTGTTGAACTGTGCTGCATTTCGAGTACCGGTAACTGTCAGGCATACAGAAGGTAGACTTGGTCACAAAAAATATACAGAGATAAATGAATCTGTTCCAAACAGTGACACACATTCCAAAACTGATGTCCTTCATTTTCTGTTTCAGTGTGGCCTTGGCTATTTACTATCACATAAAAAACAGGTAAGGGTGCTTAGCTTGTTTATTAAGTGTGGGTATTAAAGGCAGCATCTTTACTTCAATGAACTTACGCTTCTCAAAAAGTTTGTGACATTGAGCAGAATGGACCTAAAATCCACGTTAATCTTTCTGGGTCAACTTAATTTGACATTCTGAAAACCTGTAAATGCACAAAAAATATCTATCTCACGCAAAGTGAACCTTTAATTTCACATTCTCTCCTCCACTGCAGGGATTCCAGTCGCTCGCTGGACATATTTGATGAGCAGAAACACCCACTGTCGGTGAGATAAAAGCATTTCGATTTTTACTGGCCTCTGTTTTGGCTCATGACTGACAGATGCCGTTGCTGCCTCCCTAGCGTGAGAAAGTTGCCGACGACTACTCTGCAGTGAACCCCGAGAACAGGCTCATTTACCGCTTCATACGCACGCTGTTCAGCTCTGCACAGCTTACTGCCGAGTGCGCCATTGTGACACTGGTGAGTTCACAACATTGCATGAACACCTTGATTAAGATAAATCATCTAAATTTCATTTACATAATATAGCATCAATTCACGACAGCTGTTTTTTTTTTTTAAGCGCTTTACTTATGAGGCAAGACATTTATGACTCTCATCTAGGGCTGCAGCTGATAATTATCTTATATTATTTTAATAATCGATTAATCTGTTGATTATTTTCTTGATGAATCGTTGAATCAGATAATAACGTTTTAATTTCCGGTTTTGGTCTGTAGCGTCAAAAAATCGTAAGAAATGTTGACAAAATCATTCAAAAAGTTGAAGCAAATGTTTTATTTTGATTCAACACGCAGTTAATCAGTCTGCTATCCTTAAGGACGACACAGAAATTGGGGGAATCCTTACTGTTGAGTGCTTGTGTTTTTTTTTTTTTTTTGGCCTTTGGTGAATAACATACAAACTTTTTGATTACCATAACCAGCATTTTTTTCAGCCAAGAAATGATATACATCATTTTATTATTCTAGTTTACTCTGCCTCCTCTGCAGATTTACTATGACAACAATGCCAATATTATCATACAATGTAACATTGCTAATGCTACACACAAACTGATTGAAGTACATACTAAACAGAACAGGACTAAGTACACTGCCTTGTGGAACACCAGTTCATTCATTTAAGGAACCAGACTTAATTGATCATTATGACTTGAGAGAAGACTTGATGAGATTGATCCATTCTGCGGAGGAATTGCTGTTGAGTGAATAAGCTGCTTTCTTTCAGCATGGATGTGTCCCTCCTAAGGATATCTTTAGCTCTGGATGAGGTAAAGGTTGGTTCTCTCACAGGTGTACTTGGAGAGGCTTCTAACTTATGCAGAGATGGACATCTGTCCTTCCAACTGGAAGCGCATTGTTTTAGGTGCCATCCTGCTGGCCTCTAAAGTCTGGGATGACCAGGCAGTATGGAATGTCGACTACTGCCAGATCCTCAAAGACATCACTGTGGAGGACATGTGAGTCTTGCTTGTAATCTGATAAGTACTGTTAAGGTGCCATTGAACATTCTGGCATTTTAGCTTTGCATTATTGTTTTCATGAAAATCTTCAAACTTAGCCTGACTCTTTGGGCTCTAGTTTTGTATACAATGTGCGTTGGGTGGCAAGTGCCCTCTTCACAGCGTGTGATAGCCCAGGCAAACTATATATCATCCCCCGTGGAGGTCTGCTTGCAGTTCCTTATAAACGTACTTTGCACACTTTGTGAGCTCCTGCATGGTCTCCAGCCAGTCAGCTTCTGCTTCCGTCATGTCAAAGACTGCGCCTCTCGCGCATTGAATTTGAAGGGATTGAGAGGAGCCGCTTCTATTGATCGCAAAGCTCGTTGGCTGTGTTCACTCCCACAGCGGGGTAAAGCGTTCGTTGGTATTTGCGGCTGGCTGCGGAAAATACCAAAAGAAAGGCACCTCCACCAATGTGTACAGTTAGACTGTGCTTTGCGCTAGCCCTTTGCTGGGCACGAAAATACAGCCCTAAACCTTAATGAAATTACGTCAAACATAATATCAGTTCTTTTTATTGCTCTTACATATTCAAAGTGTGAATAATTATTGTTTAATGCAACAACCCATGTTTTTAAAGGAAATTTGACCCAACTAATCTGACACAATCCCTGATAATCCTGTTTGACCTTTCAGGAATGAGATGGAGCGTCACTTCCTTGAGTTGCTCCAGTTCAACATTAACGTCCCGGCCAGCGTCTACGCCAAATACTACTTTGACTTGCGCTCACTCGCTGATGACAATAACGTTGGCTCCCTTCTGGAGCCGCTCAGCAACAAGCGAGCCCAAAAATTGGAGGTGAGTCGTCGGAAGCACTTCGCCACATGTCCCTGTTGTGCATTACTGACAAGCTTGCAATGTTTTCTTCAGGCCATCTCCAGGCTGTGTGAGGACCAGTATAAGAACGTGAGCAAATCCTGTTTGCGGAGATCCGTCAGTGCAGACAACTTTGTTCATGTCAAGAACACAAAAGCAATATTGTCCTAATTTGAAACCTGCAAGGAAGTGAAGTAATGATGGGCTCCAATCCCATACGTTTGAATTGGAGCCTAAATACTTCGCAGACTGACATTTCAAAGTGTCTTCACAAATATTTGGATGCTACCCTGTGGTGGTGTTTCTTTCACGGAGACAAAAGTAAATTTTGCTTTGCTTACTATGTAGGCTATTTTGGCTGAAATGTAACAGACTTTATTCAACTAAAATAAAATTAAGTGCAGCAGTTGTTTTTTTTTTTTTTTGGTGTGGTGTCTCCCTCACCCCCCAAAAATAATGAAAAGAAAAAAAAACTGAAAGTTGTTAAAAGAGTCCAGTATTGTAAAAGTAAAGGCTTTAGTTGTGTTCTGTGCCCGAAGTTGGCCAGAAGGTATAAGAAAGTCAATTTACTGGACAGTCGAACTTCACTGCAAGATACAGAGAACTGTTTAGAATATTTTTGTAATTTTGCTTTCTATATAAGTTAACCAAAATTAAAAAATCAGAGATGAAAGTCCTCCGGATTTTCCCGGAATTCCGGGTTTTTCAAATTTTTATGAAAATTTCTCCGGAGAATTGAGGAAAATTTGCATAATCCGGATATTTGTTGACAACATTGAACGAAGACGCGTTTGAGTTCGTTGTTTTGCTTTCACGAGCGTAGCCATATTGAGGCACTAACACTTGTAACAGTAAAGAGATTTTTGTTTGTGTAATAACGACAGAAGGCATGATGGCGTTTGACTAATGGTTTAGTAGAACGAATGGCAACTCGCAACAACAGTAGCAAGCGTCATTTTGCCTCTTGGGTTATACCATCTCAACTAGAACGTGGGGGATAGTCCCCAAACAATTTTCGTCTCTTTATAAACACACCTGCTAAACCCCAGTGGAACGAATAAAAGACGCCGTCAACAAGACAGTTGTCGTAAAAAATATATTTGGCCAAAAAGGGAAAAACACAGATTGGCAGAAAATCGTGTCCGTCCGACTTCGAGTGTCGTCTCGGCTAACTTAGCTTAGCTGTTGTCGTGTGTGACGTCTTTTGCGTCGGCGCTGATTGGTTGAAATCAAATGACGCGCTTGCGTACATGTTCGCGCTGAAACCCGTACAGCAGAGAGCAGCGGACTATCTACTGCTGAGGCTCCCTTAGGTTTCGTGGGGGCGCCA